GCACTAAACCCTATATATCCTTCGATTTGCACGAAATTTGGCATAACGTACTGAATCGAGCCTAGAGTGATGTCGGTCAAGTTTCGTGTAAATTTAATGTAAATTTAGTCCAGAATGATGGGGGCCAAGTTTCGTGAAAATAAAAATAGTATAACCTAACCTGTGACAAGTTTCGTTGAAATCGCTTCATATTTGGATATAGCTTCCATATATATTCTCGCCCGATTTCAAGTAAATTGGGCATCAAACTCCTCATGTTAGTCAGATTGACATCAAATTTTGCACAATATACAATATTGAGCATAGAATTGTTGCGTTTCCTAGAAGTACAGGCATAGTCAAACGGATGACCTATTTATACTAGTTTGAAGTCGATTTACATACTTTTGTCCCATTGTAAGAAACGAATGATATGTTTATGGATAGATCTAGGTAGATTCACATTTAGATAAATATCATCAGCGGTTTATTATACCCATAGTGGTGAAGGGTATCATATAGTCGGCCCCGTCCGACTTTACTACTTTCCTTACTGGTTATTTATAAATTTTAACACCATTTAAATATAGAAATATTTATGATTCCTTTAGGATGCGATTGAACTGAATAATTTTATTCCAATTGTCTAAAATTAAATTACCTTGAAATCGAACATACCATCTAGCACTTTCGGTTAATAACAATAGCAACAAAAAATAATAAAAAGAGCCGCCGTCAACAACAAGCGTCAATTTATGTGACATAATACGGATACCCTGCATGAATCGAGTGAATATTCATAGAATTTACTCAAGTATATTCATGCGGCTATACAAAAATCACAAGAAATGTTTTTATTTTATTTAATACTTTATTTTATTTATTTTTTTTTTTTTTTTGTTTCCATTCTCCCAACACCACGAACAAAACGAAATGCTTTGTCTTTAGTATGCACAGTAGCATTGCACGGCCACCAAGACTCGATATTGAATTCTAAAAATTAAAATAAAATTGGCTATTGATTGGCTATAACTTTAATGCTTAATTGTATATTCTGGCAGGAGTTGAAGAAGAAAACAAACAAAAAAAACAGCATACAAAAAATATAAACAAGTTGTTTCCCGGTGTTGGCTGGTGCTAAGGTACCAAATATTAATTTTGGTTTTATGCGAAACACATAGGCCACTTTGGCCCCCCTCTTTTCATTTCCGCTTTATGCATGTGGTTTTAAAGTTTTTTTTTTTTAATTTATAATTCATATTCTATTGCCAATTCTAATTGGCATATGTGTTATTGGTTAATGACACGAGTTTGACAGTTCATTATCATTTGAAAAGATTTGCTGATAAAAACATTTTCTTGGCACACTATAAGGACTCATTTACATGGCTGGGGGAATTTTCAATGAAAATTAAAATGAAAAGTGTCCGATACACATTGCATTACAATGACAATTCACAGACGTTTTCGAAATATTTATAATTATATTTTCATGATCCAATAATAAGGTCGTCCGATAAGGTCAGATGATTTCACCCGATCTGTCAAAATGCTTTCAATTTTGACTTAATTGGGTGAAAACGTAAACAAAAAATTTGATAGCTTGGGGGATTTTAATCCAAAATTGCCGATAACGATTGCTTCTGACACGACCTGTTTATTGGATCATGAATATTTCAAAAAGCTCATAGTCAAGGACCCATGCACATTAGCTACTTTGATTACTATAACAAAACAGAGAACTATTAAAAATTACGCTCACGTACAAAATGTGTCCGAAAAGAAAGATAACGAAAGTAAAAACATAGACCATGCCTTCTAGATCGTCTCGATTTCTAAATCGAGGTCATTGCAGTTTTGACTAGTTTTAAAATGATGATATAAAGCCAGTCAGCTGATATTTGTTTACATGTACATACACAATTCTGATTCCACATAGCTGATCTAATTCTAATAGGGTAAAACACCAACCTGAAGGCTTTGGTGCAGGCACATCCTTCTGTAGAAATGAAAATGGAAGCAAAGGATCTGAAAGGAGCATTTTACAAAACGGATTAATACATTCTGGCTAGACCCTTAGCATCGTGGGTCCACAAAAAAAGACGACAAGACGATATCATCCACCTACAGCGTGCCTGGTCAATGACTGAATTCAATGACATTATTGGACCATAGACCATTATTGGACCATAGACCAGAAAAGACCCACGAAAAACATATCGGAACAATCCACCTATTGGTCGACACTTTACATGATGCTGATACTACCCTAGCTGGTGTATGGATCTAATATATGGATACTTGCGCAAGCAAATGAGTAGCTTTTGAGAGAAAAATTATCCCACCGATCAGATTTGACTGTGAATATATATTGATGTCGAATAAACCACAAGCTGTTGTGAGAATTTGTGAACATGGCCGAGCTCAAATTGCATATAAGGTTCGGTATATTTAAGATCTATATTTTAAATTTTACACAGACATGGCTTTTTTCACCGAATTTACTTTAATTTTATATTTTAGGTTTCCATCAGATATAAAAACTATCTGCCAAAAATGATCAATGCTAGTCCACTTTTTAGGGTAGATCTCATATACCGGAACCTTCCGAATTTTTGTGTGTTTGGGGAATTTTGGCATGATTTTAAACTGAATTGCCTCTAATTAAATATATGTTCTTATTGGGTAAAATATATTCCTACCATAAGTATTTTTGGAAGTTTTGGCACGTCTTTCAGCTGAATTGGCTGTAAATTCGTATTTTGGGTTCTTATTGGATAGCCAATTTTCCCACCAAAAATTAGAAATATATATATTATAATAATAACAATACCTCCCAAATATTTTGGGAACAAAATTTTACCCGAATTGGCTCTAACCTCGTTTTTCAAAAATCTCTAATTTAATGTAATATTCCAGATTCTTTATAAGTATTGTGATGGTCCTAGGCACATTTTCAAATCGAACATTACGAAGTGACTTAAATTTGACATTCCAGAATTTGAGGGGGTAACCATTTATTGAAAAAATATTTTCAATATAAGTCCATGTTTTTATATAGACCTCATACCAATTTTCTAACCTGAGTATCTTTAGTTTGGCATTTCCTATGGTGTCCCCATAAGAAAAGTTCCAAACATAACAATTATTGTCGATAATTGTACCACTATTCAACTGATACATACAAAAGCTAAATACTGCGAATGATAATGCAGTTTTATTATCGATAATAACAATCAATTGTTAACGTCAGACTTTAATCAATAGAGGACACCTGTACATACCTAACTGGCGGTGGGCACATTGGAACCGGCCAGACGTATCCACAAACTATTGATTTCTGCTATGCATGCATGCGTATTTTATCACCATAATCCTTACCATATATTATGTAGGACGTTTCTGTTCCCTCTATTGGCTGTAAGGTAGTTGATCGCAATCGGCTGCTTTGGAAAACTCTACACTGCTGATTGGTGTATTGGCCAAAATGAATTTATGTTTTTTATTGTCCTTACTAACTTCAGGAGTGGCATTGAAGGCGTGTCGGGGTTTCTTCCAAATCTGTCACACCACGTTGGCTGTGGCCTGAGCTGCAGTGAAATATTTCCTTGAGGTAAGTTTACTATTACTTCTCCTTGCTCCCGGTTAACGTTTTGATGGTGAATATCGTGATTACTTAGAGAGAGGTAACATGTCGGACAAAACTTCTGTATTACCCAATGAATTGTCTGGTGCGACAGGGATAATATATTTATACGAGGTTGATACAATAATACAAGGTAGGACATCTCGTAGTGAACAACAAAAATTAACTCTTTAGGTAAGTGCTTCTTCTATCAGATATAAAATAAATATTCGCAATATGTTTTTGTGTTAAAAAATTAATTAAACGTCATGATTTCATTCCAGAATTGAGTAGGGAATAGCATTAAACGTTTCTTTCATCTGAAACGTAATAATTTATTTTTGCGAATGCTGTTGAATTTTTAGCCACCGAAGTGTTCTCCGGTTTTACTGTTCTCCTCAATATTTCGTCCTGCTTCCATATTTTGTGGCTTCATGGCACCAATACTTCGATGATGAGCTCGTGTTGTCGATGTAATTTTGCAAATAATTGTTGATTTGCTTTTTGATTCTTTGGAGTGGGTTCGTTCACATTATAAACGGATGGGCCGACACGTATCTCAGCCAACTCCTGCCTTTTGGGACATGGATGAAGAAATCTGAAAATAAATTTAAAAATTTTATATTTTCTATAGATTTTTATTTGATGGGATAAATTTGATTGGTCAAATCCAAATCGACTTGATAGGGATCTGCAAATGATTTTCTTTACGGAAATTTTTGGAGCTATCCTTATCTGGACAACGGAAAAGGTTATCGACACATTAGTCTCTCAATTGACACTAAAAAGAGGTTAACATCAGAGTTGTTATCTGAAAAACAAAATATAATACCGAATATAGATATATAGGTAATGGTTTAGAAAATATTCTAAAAATATCCACGTCTATAGGTTCTATAGGTAATCGCTGAAAAATGTTTTTAATCCCTCCATGCTCATTGGCAGCTCTTAACATATATTCCCTTCGTTAGCAATTGGAACGCTTTTATGTTTTTGTTGGTTGCGAACAACCCTGTGAAATCACGCTGAATGTCAAACGTGTTTAAAATCGATTTGCTACAATTAATCGAAAGTCGACTAATCGATTAGTCTTAAAAGTGAGTGATTTGAGTGATTGGATTTCATGTGTGGAAAAATTTGCAAATAAATGAAAAATAAATAAAGAAAATCCGAAGAAAATTGTGTGAATGTAAAGAAAAAACACTATTTCACCATAAGAAATAGAAATTCAAAAAGAAAATTTAAACAAAGTGAGGAAAATAATGAAATAAGTGAGGCAGAAAAATTTCATCACATTCTAAGAAGAAGAAGCATTATCAAAGCAACGCAACAACAACAACTGCGGTCGGCATTCTCGAAGGAAAAGAAAACAAACAATCGACCACAGTAAACAACAATGGGTAGGAAATGTTGTATTGCCGGCTGTACATCGACATCACGGTTACCGGAACATCATGGAGTTACCTATCATTCATTTCCAGCGGGTAAGAATCATGATGGTTACTATTCGGGAAGTGTAATTTATTTGTTTTTGTTTTTATTTCAGATGAAAACACCCGCTCAATATGGATTAAAAATACCAAAATCAGTTCAGATCGTCAAATTACCAAAAGCGTCTTGGTATGTTCAAGACATTTTCGCCGCGCTGATTTTCAACCTCAACGTAGTGGTAAATATTTGCTAAAGCAAAAGGTATTTCCCACTGTGTTCCCCTGGGGTAAAGTTGATACAGCCCAGATAGAAGAAGATTTGGAATTTCTAAATTCCGCGACACCAAGTGTACCACCAACAGCTGTACTCACCACCGCTGCAGATACTGTGGATGAAGATACCAAAGCCACCGTGGCGGCCACAGTGGCACAAATAATGGCTCAAACGGCTGAATTAAATGCTGCTGCGGCTGCTTTGAAAAATGAAAAATCTGGCGATAATTTAGATGATTCACTGCAAGATCCAGCAGCGGCGGGAGCATCACCCGGAGTAAAATATGAACCGGTAATTGCCTTCAATCCGGGAGCACGTCTCGAAGCTCAAGATTTTGAGGGAGTTTGGCATGCGGCTCGCATCGTAGAGGTCGACAATGATGATCGTGAGGTTTTGATTAAATTCGAAAAGACCGGTAAAGTGAAATCGGCAATTGTCGGCACCGAGGAATGGATTCCAATGAACTCGTCACGTTTACGTCAGAAAATATCAACAAAACCCATACCGGTTTTTACACTGGAAGAGAAATGTTTGGCCAGATGGTCGGGGCCAAGGAAGTTCCCCGGAACCGTAAAGAAAATTCTTGGCAATGATACATATGAGGTGTTATTCGATGATGGTTATGTGAAAAATGTTCGTGCTATTCATATGAATAAAATTTCAAATTCATCGGATACTCCCCAAGAGCCAGTGGCGGTGGCCACGTCAGAGGTGACAGCTGGAGGGGAAAATGCGCAACCCTCCCCCTCCACACAGTTGGCAGCTGCTACACCAGCAACAGCACAAACAACCATATCGCCTGGTGTAAAACGGCCCGCCAGCGGTCCCTCGGATGGCTCCAAACCCAAAAAGCGGGCCGCCAGTTCTGGGCGTAAGGATTGGCCTTTATTGGATTTATCCAAATTGGATATTGGTAAGTTTTTTTCCTTTAACAAATTATATTATGTTTGCTTCTAATTAATTTTCTCCCTTATCCTTTCAGCTTCCTTAAATCTCCCCGAAGTACCTAGAGATGGTGAATGGGCCTGCCATTGGGTCAACGATCAGCCCATTGGCCGTGAAGGTTTTCTCATTGTTGGCGAACATCGCAAACCCACTGTCATTGTCGACGATTGGCGTCTTCCAGCCGGTTGGATAAAACACATGTATCAACGTTCCAATGTCCTGGGCAAATGGGATGTAATACTTGTCAGTCCCACTGGAAAACGTTTTAGGTCCAAAGCAGATCTTAAAACATACTTGGAAGAACAAGGCCAAGTGTATAATCCTGATATTTATGACTTCAGCATACATCGCCGTCGAGCAAAGGATATCAATTGTTATGTCTACACACCGGGCTATGTACCACAACAACCACCCAAACCAAAATCCGCATTAAATTTTGATGTTCCAGTGGAAAATAAACCGTTGTCAATGATTGAGCCTTTGAGAACCTCTGCTCCATCGCCATATATGGAAACACCAGTTGCCGAACCATTGCCACCAATTGAATTGTTAACATCCACAAGTTCAGCGGCAGAGGATAAAAGTGTAACTCAGGTGGAGGCTGAAGTACCAAAACAACTTTTAGAATCGGCCGAAATTAGTTCTACACCAACACCAACTAATACTCCCACCGTGGAGATGAAAGAAGAAGGCGGAGTTGCGAATACGGAAGCAACTGCAGTTGCAGGACAAACAAATGTATCGGAATCAGCTCCCCAGGTGGAGGATGGTTATGGTGAGTTGGATCTCTTTTTTTCAATAGAAAGCCTGGAGGAAAAATGTCCTTACTGTAGAAAGTCTTCTGCCCCCAGAAGATGTCTAGAAGGCATTCTGTCCATAGGAAACCTGTAGAAGACCTTCTGTCTATAGAAGACCTTTAGAAGGTCTTCGGTCCATAGAAAACCTTTAGAATGTCTTCTGTCCATAGAAGGCCTTTAGAATGTTTTCTGCCCATAGAAGACCTTTAGAAGGTGTTCTGTCCATAGAAGACCTATAGAAGGTCTTCTGTCCATAGAAGACCTATAGAAGGTCTTCTGTCCATAGAAGACCTATAGAAGGTCTTCTGCCTATAGAAGGCCTTTAGAAGGTCTTCTGTCCATAGAAGACCTGAAGAAAGCATTCTGCCCATAGAAGACCTGAAAAAAGTCTTCCGTCCATAGAACACTTGCAGAAGGTCTTCTCTCCATAAAGGACCAGTAGAAGGTATTCTGCCCCTAGAAGATGTCTAGAAGGCCTTCTGCTCAGTGAATACCTGTAGAAGACCTTCTTTCCACATAAGACCTCTTGATGATCTTCTGCTCGAAGAATATCTGAAGAAGGTATTTTGTCCGTAGAAAACCTGCCGAAAGTCTTCTGAAGCCATATAAGACCTCTGAAAGATAATTTTTCTATATAATAGCTATAGAAGCTCGTCTGTTCATAGAAGAACTGGATTAGATCTTTTGTCCATATAATGCTCTGCATGCAGGATACCAGTAAAAGTTATTCTTTCCACAGAAGTCCTGAATGTCCTTCCTCAAGAATTCCTTTTTTGATTGCATTTATTATATTTTTCATTTCCAGCTCTTATTGGCGGCCTAAAGGTACAGATTGTCGATAACCTTTTCCGATGCCCTGATGAAGGATGCTCCAAAAATTTCCGCAAAGAAAATCATTTGCAGATCCATGTCAAGCATTACCATTTGAATTTGGCCAAGTAAGTTTATCTCTCCCACAGAAATTCTATAGATTTTTTTTTTAAATTTAAAATTTAATTTCAGATTACTTGGTTCATGTCCCAAGATGCAGGAATTGGCAGAGAAACGTACCAGGCCCTCTGATCATGATGTGACCGAACCCACACCCAAGAATCAAATACCCAATCAACAATTCTTTGCAAAATTACACCAACAAGACTTGGAACAGACACGGGCTCATCGGCGTAGTATTGGTGCCGTGAAGCCACAAAATGTGGAAGGGGGAGAAGGCACGGAGGAGCAAATTAAAACCGGAGAACAAGGCGAACCGCAGCAGACACAAACGGAGGCGAACACCAGCACTTCGGCGGCAAACAACTCAACTTTGGATAGTTCATTTGCCTCCACGGCACCAGATGATTCATTGGGCAACATTGAAGCACTGCCCGATGTGCCACCTCTCTCTAAGAAATCGCGATTTTCACCATCGAAACGTACCCCGGGAGCCAGGAAAAGTAATCGTCAACGTACTACAAGGAAATATTTGACTGCAGCTCAGGCCACAGCCAGCCGATCAATGCAGCAGAATGCTGCACACACAACCACCACCAGTGCCCCACCCCCAACAACGGGTGATTCCAGTTTTAGTGGTGTGGCAGATTTTGAGGAGACCCGGCATTCATTCAATGCCACTCCTGAAGTTAATAAGGACAGCAAAAAACGTAAATCCACATTGGCTAATACACCACTCAGCAGTGTAGAATCTCCAATAACTGCCGATTCGGGATCAAGTTCATTACATCCAACGGATGGTGCAGAAACGGCCAACACCACCCAACAATACATCAAGGAGAATGGTGAAATTATAAAAATCGTAAGCATGCGTCAAGAGGAAATTATCAATTGTCTGTGTAAATACGGCCTCGAAGATGGCCTAATGATCCAATGTGAATTATGCCTGTGCTGGCAACATGGCCATTGTCATGGCATTGAAAATGAATCACAAGTACCGGATAAATATGTTTGCTATATATGTCGTCATCCTGACAAGCAACGCTATTCAATGCAATTTAAACATGATCAAGATTGGCTCTATGAAGGTAAATTGCCCGCAGCCAATTATCATACACAAAATCCAACGTTGATGAATAAACGTGCCGATTATCTAAAACGTTCTCATGTGTTGACGGGTAACTTATTGGAGTTGAAGAATTTCATGCATTCACTGAAGGTGAAAATAAATATTGCCAATAATAAATCACATCCCAAACTATATTTATGGGCCACCAAATGGGATGAAGATGTGGAAATAAAAAATGAAATTAAAAGTGAATTAGATGGAGAAAATAAAACAGAAACAATCGATTCAAAATTGTGTTTAACACCAACCTCTAAGAAAATTAAAATGGAGCCGGTGACACCAGCCAATCCGCCCATACCCAATATACCACAACCGGAGGCACCCATTGACCCGGTGGAATGTCAACAACGTTTGCAGGAACACATTAAAATACAACAAAATTTGGCAATGCAAAGGCTTAATGATATAGAATCGGCCATAGATGGTAAGATTGACATATAATATAATACCTTTTAATAGGTTTTTAATGAAATATTTTTTTTATATTCCAGCCCTGGAACAGGAAGATGACTTACCCGATTTACGTGATGCCGATTTGGGTACCACCAAAGACGTGTTAGCCTCCTTCATCAAGGAATTGGACACAGTTAAACAAATTGCCAAACTAAATGCATTGGAACATACCAAAATGGCTTATAAGAATGCTGTGGCAGCAGTTTAATTTAGTTTCGGTTTTTTTATTTTTTCTTTTTGAATGATCGTATTTTATAGTGTATATTTTATCAATATTTCATTTTAGTTCTTAATTTTTAGAAAGAAGCTTTCTAAAAAAGCTAATTTTTAGGCTATTAACTTTTAGATATGTTCGAATAAGAGTTTGTTTGAATAAAAATTTAATAATGGATGTTACACAAAAAAACGTTTTGTTTTTTTTTAAAGAAATTGTATAGACACATTATTTTCAAGGATTGTCAATAGGCGTGCATTTTGTAGAAATATTTCTAAAAATATTTTTGAAGAATTATCTTCAAGGATTAAATATATTTAAAAAAAATCCAGTAGTATATTTTTTTTAATCACAAAATGTTTAAGAATTATATAGAAGTCAACCGTTTCCAACTTCCACAAAAATCTTACTTTCTGTGGTTGCATATTCTGAGCTTGGGCTATTTTTTGCGATATTTGCACCCTCTTGACCGACTAGATGTCAACCGTTTCCACGACAGAGGAGTCTACGATACGACCCGAGTTATACTCGGCCAACGTCTGTCACCTCAGCCAATTGTGTAAAAGCAAAAGGGCTGCTACAACCACAACAACTATATGTCAACAATTATTTCTAGAATTCGGTAGACGAGAACTGTACTTGTCCAGATTTTCTATACCGTGGGTTATGTTGTGATGTTGGGCTTTCAATTGTAGCCTATAGATCGACTCAAAGAAAAAACACAAAAAATTAAGTTTTCGGTCCACTTCATCCCAAAATTATTTTGTGATCATCACCGAAAATTATAGGCGTTGTCCTTGACCATAACTGAAACCTCATGGAAAATTTCAAAGCGATCAGCGCTATATTTCCGCCCTCTAGTGTGGTAATGGGTTACAAAATAATATCTCAGTACTTCAGCACCTGTATATATTTAGGTGTAACTCCCACAGCCGAGTACATACGACAATATAATTGTTATCAATTTAAAGGTCAATCACTCCTCATGAACATACTATTAACTTCTCGGGTATAGGTCCTTAAGGGGCAAATATATACGCCATTGAATACAAATTTTGTAATTTTTCACACAAGTCAGGGTCCATTTGACCACCTAAATATTGACCAATCCTTATCAAAGCGTCCTACATGGCAAAAGGAAACGAGATACACACATGGTTCCTTTTCAGAATATGCATAGAATCACTTTCTGAGTCGATTTATGCATATCCATGTTAAATTGTAAACAAAGTACAGGTCGCATTTATGATCCGAATTGAATGAAATTTTGCATAAGTCATTTATTTGGCCCAAGGACCCTATTGAAATTGAAGAAAATCTTAGATTTAAATATAGCTCCCATATATAGCTTATTTAATTAGGTCCATATTGATGTATGCGAAGTTTTGTTTGACGTGGGGGACGGCTCCGATTGGCTTTAATATGGCGAAGTCCAGGCTTATCTTGGCCCCTCTTTCATCTCAATTGTGGACACTGACCTCCACGCGGTGCCACTTGGGGAGCTATTTTCATCACCCGATGAAATAGTGAGCTAATATGTGAGTTCACCCATAAAAACTTTAAAAAATGGGTTGAGGCGTCGGGTTAGTTGCCCACTCTCGGAAAACCCAACCTACTAAAAAAAAATAAAACCATGAACAGACCAAAGACATATTTTACGAGCGCCTAGAAACAGCATATGATCGTTGCCCTGGCCATGACATGAAAATTCTGCTAGGAGATTTTAATACAAAAATCGGAATGGAAAATTCAAAGGATCTCTCGAAGCCCTTTAATACCGAACGAGGATTCAGACAAGGTGGCAGTTTGTCGTGTGACCTTTTTAACATCCTGCTTGAAAAGGTCATGCGAGAGGCAAAAGTGAACAGAAATGACACTCTGTACACCAAACAACATCGACATAATGGGTCGAACATTGAGAGCGGTAACATCCACCTTTGAACAAATTGAAAAGGAGTTTGCCAAAATGGGTCTGGCAGTAAACGGCGAGAAGACCAAGCTGATGGTATCAACGCGCAAGACGTCCAGTAGACTCGGACCAACTGTGAAACTTGAGAAATACAGCTTGGAGATAGTCAAAGATTTTATATACCTTGGTACCGCCATAAACAAAACGAATCACATTAGTTTTGAAATTCGGAGAAGGATAGTGATGACCAATCGATGTTACTATGGTCTGAGCAAACAACTCAAAAGCAAGACCACCTCCCGCCAGACCAAACTCACACTCACAAGACGCTGATACTACCCGTGCTGTTATACGGATCTGAAGCATGGGTACTTACGCAAGCAGATGAGGCAGCTCTTGGAGTGTTTGAGAAAAAAATTCTCCGAAAGATCTATGGGCCGATCTGCGTTGACGGTGAATTATTTTTTAAAAAATATTTATACCCTTCACCACACTGTGGTACAGGGTATTATGTCTTTGTGCATATGTTTGTAACAGGCAAAAGGAAACGAGATAGACCCATAGTTCCTTTTGAGAATATGCATAGAATCACTTTCTGAGTCGATTTATATATGTCCGTCCGTCCGATTTGGATGAAATTTGGTACAGCTCATTTGTTTGGCCCAAGGACGAACCCTATTGAAATTGGGAAAAATCGGTTCAGATTTCGATATAGCTCCCATATATATTTTCGCCCGATTTAAGGTAAATTGTGCACTATATATCTGTTGATTTGCATGAAATTTAGTACAACGTACTGAATTGAGCCTAGAACGATGTCTGAAAAGTTTCGTGAAAATCGGTCCAGATTTATATATAGCTCCCATATATAGTTTCGTCCGATTTCATGTAAATGGTGCACCAAAGTCCCTACATATCTTTCGATTTGCATCAAATTTGGCATAACGTACTGAATTGAGCCTAAAACGATATCTGCCAAGTTTCGAGAAAATCGGTCCAGATTTAGATATAGCTCCCATATATAGTTTCGTCCGATTTCATGTAAATGGTGCACTAAAGTCCCTATATATCCTTTGATTTGCACGAAATTTGGCATAACGTACTGAATCGAGCCTAGAGTGATGTCGGTCAAGTTTCGTGTAAATTTAATGTAAATTTAGTCCAGATTGATGGGGGCCAAGTTTCGTGAAAATAGGTTGAGATTTAGATATAGCTCCCTTTTATTATAGATTGATTTTAAGTAATTGACGCACCAAGGAACCAATATTCTGGTAGGAACAAAACGTAATAAAAATAGTATAACCTAACCTGTGACAAGTTTCCTTGAAATCGCTTCATATTTGGATATAGTTTCCATATATATTTTCGCCCGATTTCAAGTAAATTAGGCATCAAACTCCTCATGTTAGTCAGATTGACATCGAATGATCTGTTTATGGATAGATCTAGGTAGATTCACATTTAGATAAATATCATCAGCGGTTTATTATACCCATAGTGGTGAAGGGTATCATATAGTCGGCCCCGTCCGACTTTACTATTTTCCTTACTGGGGTTTTTTCGAAATATGTTTTCCATGAATTATCTATAATCATATTTTTTAAAACTGGGTATCTCTCATCTCCCCCCTCTAAAATGTCCAAACCACCCATAAATCTACTTAAATACCCCAGATTAATTTCCATCATAAATACACCTCAACCACAATATTTATTTCTTTTTGTTGTTGTTAATTTGTCATATTAATAATGCTTATTACAGAAAAATATATAATAAAGATTAATGTTCATTGTCATTATGCTATCTGTTAAGGATACGACGTAGCCATAAAGCATTTTGGTATTAGCATGTCAGCAAAAAACATAATTCTAAATGGAAAAAGGAAAACATTTTTGCTACCACATTCATCTACACCTGTATGCAGATACATCTACACACAGATATACCAACATACTGATACACCTTCATACAGATACACCTCCGTTCATTGCGACGACACACATCAATGATATTTTTCCTTCTCTTTATTTTCGTTAATGGTAGATGTTATAACAAAAGGTCCTCTCATACCTTTGACTATACGGGATGAATGTGTAGGTGTCTCTGTATGTGTGTTTGTGTGATGGCATATCATCATCGTTATCCTGTGCATGATTGCGGCAAATTAGCAGCAAAAATGTTTTCCAACGATTGAGATAAATTTTCATAATAAATTAATTAAAAACACGAATGTTAGACGGAAGGGAATTATGGAGAATTAAAATCGAAAAAATAGGGAAATAAATATATACGTATCTTAATGATGTAATAAACATTAAAGAGAAAGATTTTTAGATATGAAGAGCGGGTAAAAAAAAATGAAATAATAAAAAAAAGAACAACAACTTCAAACCAGTAAGGAAAGTAGTAAAGTCGGACGGAGCCGACTATATGATACCCTTCACCATATATATATATATATCCTCCCTATAACATTAATTTTGTGAACCGACTTAAATCAATCATAGACATGTCATTCTGCAACCTATGCTACATTTTTCATATGTAAACCGACTAACATCAATCCCTATACATGTCATTCTGTAACCTATGCCAAAATTTTGTAAATCGATTTAAAGCAAACTTGACACACGCTAGTTGGTATGCTGAACTATTTAAAACATAATCTAAATCGGACAACCATTGATTTTTTTGGTGTAAAATTAACATTAATAGGTTGAAATTATATACGGAGACTATGCTATATCTACATCTGATATTAACAACAGTACGTTGTGTCAATCGGCCTAGCTATGGATCTTTAGTGCATCATTTACTTAAAATCGGACGAAAATATATATATAGGAGGTATATATAAATCTGAACTGAATTTCTTAGCACACATTATTCTAGAGTTAATTCAGTAAGCTATACCAAATTTCGTTCAAATTTAAGAATATATAGGGTCTTTGGTGCAACATTTACATTGAATCGGACGAAAATATATATGGGAGCTATATTTAAATGTGAACCGATTTTCACGAAACTTAACATACATCATTGTAGATCTAATTCAGTACACTGTGCCTAATTTCGTGCAAATCGA